TGTAAAATCGATATACTGAAAATTAAAGAAATCGGAAAATCGGATGATTGGCAATTCAAAGATTGCAAAAATTGAAAAATTTAAAAACTTGAAAACCGAAGAATCGAAAAATCAAAGACTGAAATTTTGAAAAATTAAATAACCGAAAAATTACAACATCGAAGAAAAACATTGAAAAAAATAAGGGAAATGAAAAAACATAAAACGAAAAATTGTAATATCGAAAAATTGCAAATTGAAAAATTGAAAAAACGAAAAATAGAAAAATTTGAAAGTCGAGAAATTAAAAAATTCAAAACATTGAAAAATGGGCTGAAGATAACAGTATTGTATTCCCAAATTTTCTGGAAAATGGAGTAAGTCAGTCTCGATTTAATTAATAAAATTTTTCAACTGTTCTAATAAAAAAAATGGAAAAAACCAAAAGATCCAACAAAATTTTCAATTTTTCCGTTTCTGGACTTTCAAATTTTTCAATTTTTTTGTTTCTTCAATTTATCGATTTGAAAATTTTCAATTTTGCAGTTTTTCGATTTTACAATTTTTTATTTTTCGATTTTTTTTGTTATTCGTTTTTTCATTTCATTCATTTTTCGATGTTTCTTTCGACTTTATAATCTTTCGCTTATTCAACTTTTCAAATTCGGATTCCTTAATTTTTAATTTTTTAATTTTTGGATTCAATTCGCTATTTCTTATTTCCAATTTTTCGATTCATTATTTTTTTTAAGTTGTTGATTTTAGTTTTTCTCTATTTTATAACACCGTTATTCGTTTTTCATTTCCTTTATTTTTCAATGTTTCTTTCGACTTTATAATCTTTCGCTTATTCAAAATTTCTTTGATTTCTCAATTTTTTATTTTTTAACAAATTTTTTACTTTTTCAATTTTTTTATTCGATTGGTTTTCCAATTTTTTGTTTCATTAATTTTTAAGTTTATCGATTTTTAATTCTTCAGTTTTTCGATTTTTCAATTTTTCTGTTTTTTAACCTTTCGAATAAAGTGAAACTTTTTTTTTCATTATTTTTGTTTTTTTCAACTTTAATTGTTTCAATTTTTCTGTTGCTCGACTTCGAAAATTTTCGTTTCTTCGATTTTTCGATTTCCAATTTTTCAATTATAATTTTTCGATTTTTCAATTATTCGTTTGATAATATTTTCAAGTTTTGATTTTAATTTCATATCACATTTTATTCATTTTTTCATTTCCTTTACTTTTCAACGTTACGAGAAATCAAAAATTTGAAAAAGAATTGTAAAATCAAAACAACGGAAAATCGAAAAATTGCAAACACTGAAAAACTAAAGTCGAGAAACTTAAAAAGGCAAGAAACATGGAAAACCCAAAACTTGTAAAACAAAAAAATTATAGAATCGTCAAAATACTGTGACACTAAAAAATCAAAAAATTCAATTCGAGAAATTCAAAAGATAAAAATCGAAAAATTAAAAATCGAATAAATGAAAACGTTTTAAAATCCACTAGTTGGAAAATGGAAAAAATCTGAAACTGTAAAATTGAAAAATTAAAAATTTAAACTCGTGAAATTACAAATTCTAAAACTTCAGCAACCAAAAGTTGGAAAATCGGAAAACTGAAAACTCTATAAAATGAAAACTCGAAGAGCTACACAGACATCGTAAAACTGAAAAAATAAAAAAAAATAAAATTAAAAAATTCCAAATCGAAAAATTGAAAAAACAAAAAAATGATAAATTTGGAAGATTGAAAAATAGAATAAACGAAAAAAGATTTAAAATCCAATAGTTGGAAAATAGAAAAAATCTAAAATCGTAAAATCGATAGAATGAAAAACATTGAAAAATCGAGAAACTGAAAAAAAGACAAATAAAAATCAGAACATTGAAACCTAAAAATTGAAAAAAAAGTTATAAATTCAGAACACTAGAAATTGGAAAAATTTTAAAAATAAAGAAATAAACCTTAACAACATTTTGCAATTCAACAATTTGAAGAAATAAAATATTAAACATTCGAATATTGACAAACTAAAACTTGAAAACTGGAGAAATTTCAAATTGAAAAATTGCTAAATCGAAAATTTGAAGAAAGAAAAAAATATTAAAATTAAAAATTCAAAACTCATGAAATTCCAAATGGAAAAATTGCAAAATCTAAAAATTGAAACAATCAAAAGTTGGAAAATCGAAAACTGAAAACTACAAAATAAAAACTCGTAGAGCTACCAAGGTATCGCAGAATTGGAAAAAAAATGAAAAATTGAAAAATTATAAATCGAAAAATTGAAGAATCGAAAAATTGTAAAAGAAATTAAACCGACACAAAATATTGAAAGATTGATGAATCGAAAGATTAAAAAATGAGAAACATAATCGGAAAATCGGATAATTGGAAATCCAAAAATTGCTAAATTGATAAATTTTGAAATTGGAAAATGAAGGAATTGAAAAATCGGTGATTGAAAATTTGAAAGGTTGAATAAACGAAAAATTATAACCAGAAAATCGAAAAAAAAAATTAAAAATTGTAATAGAAAAATTGCAGAATTGAAAAATTACAAATCACAAAATTGAAAAAATGAAAAATATAAAAATTTGGAAGTCGATAAATCGAAAAAATTAAAGTTGCAAAAGCGAAAATTATAAACTGAAACAATGAAAAATGCAAACATTGAAAATTAAAAAATCGAAAAAATGAAAAATAATATTCAAGAACCTGAAAAATTGAAGAAAAGAAAAGTAAAAGAAATGAGAAATTTAAACATCGAAAGATTGCAAAATCAAACAAATGAAAATGTGTATTGTAAAATCGATATACAAAAATTAAAGAAATCGGAAAATCGGATGATTGGCAATTCAAAGATTGCAAAAATTGAAAAATTTAAAAACTTGAAAACCGAAGAATCGAAAAATCAAAGACTGAAATTTTGAAAAATTAAATAACCGAAAAATTACAAAATCTGAAGAAACATTAAAAAAATAAAGGAAATGAAAAAACATGAAGTTGTGATATAAAATCGAGAAATTGAAAATTAAAGAACTTGAAAAACTGAGGTAGCGACAAATTGAAACATCCCCAAAAAAATACGAAACTAAAAATCACAAAATAAAAAATTCTAATATCAAAAAATTGCAGAGTTGAAAAATTGCAAGTCGAAAAATTCAAAACATTGAAAAATGGAAGAAAATGAAAAAACGAAAATTTGGAAAATTGAAGAATCGAAAAATTAAAAAATGAGAAACTTAAACATCGGAAAAGTGCAAAATCAAAAAAACGAAAATGTATATTGTAAAATCAACATACTGAAAATAAAATTGAATATTTGACAAATTAAATAATCGAAAAATTACAAAATCTGAAGAAACATTAAAAAAATAAGGGAAATGAAAAAACATAAAATTGTGATATAAAATCGAGAAATTGAAAATTAAAGAACTTGAAAAACTGAGGTAACGAAAAATTGAAACATCCACAAAAAAAATAAGAAACTAAAAAGCAAAAAATAAAAATTCTAATATCAAAAAATTGCAGAGCTGAAAAATTGCAAGTCGAAAAATTCAAAACATTGAAAAATGGAAGAAAATAAAAAAACGAAAAATTGGAAAATGAAGAATCGAAAAATTAAAAAATGAGAAACTTAAACATAGGAAAGGTGCGAAATCAAAAAACGAAAATGTATATTGTAAAATCAACATTTTGAAAATAAAATTGAATACTTGACAAATCAAATAACCGAAAAATTACAAACTCTGAAGAAACATTAAAAAAATAAGGGAAATGGAAAAACATAAAGTTGTAATATAAAATCGAGAAATTGAAAATTAAAGAACTTGAAAAACTGAGGTAACGAAAAATTGAAACATCCACAAAAAAAAATAAGAAACTAAAAAGCAAAAAATAAAAATTCTAATATCAAAAAATTGCAGAGCTGAAAAATTGCAAGTCGAAAAATTCAAAACATTGAAAACGGAAGAAAATGAAAAAACGAAGAATTGGAAAATTGAAAAATCGAAAAATTAGAAAATGAGAAACTTAAACATCGGAAAAGTGCATAATCAAAAAACGAAAATGTATATTGTAAAATCAACATACTGAAAATAAAATTGAATATTTGACAAATTAAATAACCGAAAAATTACAAAATCTGAAGAATCATTAAAAAAGTAAGGAAAATGAAAAAACATAAAATTGTGACATAAAATCGAGAAATTGAAAATTAAAGAACTTGAAAAACTGAGGTAACGACAAATTGAAACATCCAAAAAAAAAGAAACAAAATCAAAAAATAAAAATTCTAATATCAAAAATTTGCAGAGTTGAAAAATTGCAAATCGAAAAATTCAAAACATTGAAAAATGGAAGAAAATGAAAAAACGAAAAATTGTGATATCAAATAACTGGTGGAAGGTAAATATATCCAGATTTTTCGACAAATTATAACGTCGGATTTTGCGAAATTTATTTTTTTATAATAAATTAAAATAAGGATATGCGTGTTAATGTTAAAGTACCTGTTTGTTTCAAGTGAATTTTTCTACTATAATATTTTATGATGACGTCATTACATTTATGCAAGGTCATAAAGTAAATTAGACTAAACTTTGAGATGACGTCATAATTTTTTGGGAGGGATAGACAAATAAATTTTGATTAACGATTTACTATGATTACGGTAACCTTGAAATGTTTGCAAGATTTCAGAGCATTTTGTTATTCAATTTTTTTTTCCAAAAATCTGGATGTCCAGAGTGAAAACTCAACACGGATTTATACATCACAAGTTAACGGGTGGCATATTTTATTAAATTAAAAATACATATAAATGTAAATTTTGGAGATGGTGGGGATGATTAGTCAAATTTTAGCTACCGTGTTACCATCTATGATAAGTATTCCTAATGTATATACAAAATGTGACAACAATCGATCCGGTAGTTTAGTAATCGTTTAGATTACGTGTCTAATAAAAATCAGCTTACACTCAGGAAGTAAAAATCACAAAAATAAAACAACCAATAGTAAAAATATTTATTAAGAATTGATACATAAAAAATCCAGCTACCATTTTTTTCCTGGAACTATCATCGAGTCCCAGCTGCCCCCACCCATCCGTTTCCATTTCTTGTTATTTATGGCACGTGTGTAAATTACTGTTTCGTTTCTGTCAAAGTGGTATATCGCCCGTACTTCCACAACAAATCGACCCACCTCTTCCCGCTGAAAAATTATATTTAAACCCATAAGTTAGATTGCATCTTCAGCAGACACGTTTTTGGCAGTAGTTGGTTCGACCGTGTCCTGGGAACGAGTAGATATTGGATAACTTCCGTGCCGAGGAAACTTAAGGAACAATCCATAACTATAAAGAACTCTCCAGAACAAATTCTTCATTGATACAAAAGATAAGGAGAGTGCTTTTCCGGCGGTCTGCTACAAATTGACTTAAATTCATGGGGAATTGATGTGAATGGGTTTATTGGGGTTAATTTATAGTCCCAGAGAACAGAAAGCAGAACACTCGGTTTCGCTAAGATGAGATTACGTTCCACATTAGTTTTATTTATTTAGGGGATCGGCTATTGTTAGGTAACGACGTAGAGAGAGTCCGACTTGAAACAACTGCACCTGAATTTGACGTATCCACAATCACTTAGCTGGGAGGTTAGCGAGCTGGTTTCGACGGATGCTTGCCTGAATTCGTGGAAAAGGCGCACCAGAAGGGACCAGCAGTAAGCGTATGAGCCTGAAATTGTTCCTTATTACAATTTATACACACTTTTAGTACCCTGATCTTGAGACATTTTTAGTCAATATAAATTTCGCGAGTGAAAGTATGTATTTTCATTGATTGCCAGTTGCACTTGACATAATGTTCAGTCGCACATTTACTCCTCCAAAATTAATGAATGAGCCAATCTAAACATTTTCCTGAAAATTACGAATGCTCTGAAAGCTTGCAAACACTTTAAGGTTATCATTTTCATGGTAAACCGTTAATCAAAAATTTTTCAATTTCTCAACTTCAATTTTTTTATTTTTCGTTTTGCAATTTTTTGATATTACAAGTGACAAATTATAAAAATTGAAATGTTGGAAAAAAAGAGAAATAAAAAATCGAAAAGTTGAAGAACTGAAAAATCTAAAATTTAAGAAATCAAAAAATTGAGGGTTCGAAAAATCTATCAATACATAAATACAAAAATTAAAAAATGAGAAAAATCGAAGAAAAATTGAACAACCGAAACACTAAAAAATCCGAAAACTCAAAATTCGAAAAACTGAAGAATTGAGAATCTGAAAAAATCGAAAAATCGTAAAATCTAAAAATTGAAAAATCAAAAAATTGAAGAATTAAAAATCTGAAAATCGAAAAATCGAGAAACCGAAACATCGCAGAAACGAGAAATGGGAAAATCATAATGTCGAAAAGTCGAGAAGTGAAAAAATCGAATAATCAAAAAATCTAAAAATAGATCAATCAAAAATTCGAAAATTAAGAAACACCAAAAACTGAAATATCGGAAAAAAAGCTAAATCAAAAAATAAAAAAATCAACAAACCTGAAGAACCGAAAAATCTAAAATTTAAGAAATCAAAAAATTGAAGATTCGAAAAATTGATAAATCGATAAATCGAATTTTTAAAAATGTAAAAATTCAAAAGTCCAAGAAAAAGTGAACAACTGAAAAACTAAAAAATCTCAAAACTGAAAATTCGAAAAAGTGATATACCAAAAAATTGAAGAATGGAAAATCTGAAATAATCGAAAAATTGGAAATTTAGAAATGTTTCAAAGATTGAAATATTGAAAAATCATAAAATTAAACGGCGAAAAAAAATCGAAAAAAAAATTAAAAAATCGAGAAAACGAAATTTTCAAAATTAGAGAGATAAATTGAAACAATAGAAGTCGAGGAATTGAAAAATCGACACTTTTAAAAATAAAAAAACTGAAAAATCCCAAAAATTGAGAAATCAAAACTTGAAAAATCGAGAAATCGAAACATCGGAAAGCGGAAAAATTGAAACTTCGATAAAACTGAGAACGAAAAACTAATGCACAATTTATATTTCACAATTATTCGTTTATTCATTTCCTTTATTTTTTCAATGTTTCTTTCGATTTTACAATCTTTCGGTTATTCAAATTTTCAAGTTTCCAATCTTTGATTTCTCAATTTTCTAATTTTCAGTTCTTCGATTTACAATTTCCTGACTTTCCACTGTTTCGATTTTGTAATTTCTCGTTCCTTAGTTTTTCGGTTTTTCAACTTTCCTAATCAAAGAAATGGAAAAAACCAAAATATCAAACAAAATTTTCAACTTTAATTTTTTTAATTTTTCCGTGTCTGGATTTTCACATTTTTCAATTTTTCGTTTCCTCAATTTTATGATTTGCAGTTTTTCAATTTTACAATTTTTCGACATAATTTTTCATTTTCTGATTTTTTATATTCCCAATGTTTAAGTTTTCGATTTTTCATTTTTTTTTTGATAAATTTTCAAGTAGGTAGTTGATTTTAATTTTTTTCCCGATTTTTTTGATGTTCATTTTCTCGATTTTATATCGCAATTATTCGTGTTTTCATTTTCTTTATTTTCAATGTTTCTTTCGACTTTATAATCTTTCGCTTAATCAAATTTTCAATATTTGATTTCTCAATTTTCTAATTCGTTTTTTCTTCTTTCCAATTTTTGTTACATTAATTTTTAAGTTCCTCGATTTTTAGTATTTCAGTGTTTCAATTCTTTCAACTTTAGTTTTTTGAATTTTTCAGTTTCTCGACTTCCAAATTTTTAAATTTTTTGTTTTTTCGATTTGAAAATTTTCAATTTTGCAATTTTTCGATTTTACAATTTTTTATTTTTCAGTTTTTTTTTTGTTATTCGTTTTTTCATTTCATTCATTTTTCAATGTTTCTTTCGACTTTATATTCTTTCGCTTATTCAAATTTTCAAATTCTCATTCTTCGATTTCTCAATTTTCTAATTTCTCAATTTTCTAATTTTTAAATTTTTTTATTCGATTGGTTTTCCAATTTTTTGTTTCATTAATTTTTAAGTTTATCGATTTTGACTTCTTCAGTTTTTCGATTTTTCATTTTTTCTGTTTTTTAACCTTTGGAATAAATTGAAAAATTTTTTTGCTTTCATGATTTTTGATTTTTTCAACTTTTTTTCTGTTGCTCGACTTCCAAAATTTTCTATTTTTCGTTTCTTTGATTTTTCAGTTTGCAGTTTTTCAATTATGCAATTTTTCGTTTTTCGACTTTTTATGTTCCCAATTTTTAATTTTTCGATTTTTCAATTTTTCGTTTGATAATATTTTCAACTTCTTGATTTTAATTTTATATCACATTTTATTCGTTTTTTATTTCCCTTATTTTTCAACGTTACAAGAAATCAAAAATTTGAAAAAAAAGTGAAATGAAAACAGCTGAAAATCGAAAAATTGCAATTCGACGAATTAAACAATTGAAACACTGAAAAACTAAAATCTAGAAACTTAATAAGGGAAAAAAATTAATGAATCGAAAAATTGGAAAACCCAAAAATGGTAAAATCGAAATACTGTGACACTGAAAAATAAAAAAATTCAAAAATTAAATTTCGAGAAACTCAAAGGATCAAAATCGAAAAATTAAAAAAAAAAATAAAAAATCGAAAAATTGAATCGTTTTAAAATCCACTAGTTGAAAAATGGAAAAAATCTGAAACCGTAAAACTGAAAAAATAAAGAAAATAAAAAACCGAAACAAAAATTTGCAATTGAAAAAATGAAAAATCTAAAAATTGAAAAATTAAAAATTTAAACTCGTGAAACTGCAGGTCGAAAAATTACAGATTCTAAAAATTCAAGCAACCAAAAGTTGGAAAATAGGAAAACTGAAAACTTTATAAAATGAAAACTCGGAAGAGCTACACAGACATCGTAAAACTGAAAAAATAAAAAAAATAAAACATAAAAAATTCCAAATTGAAAAACTGAAAACGGAAAAATTGAAAAAATTGAAAATGAAAAACAAAAAATGATAAATTCGGAAGATTGAAAAATAGAATAAACGAAAAAGTTTTAAAATCCACTAATTGGAAAATGGAAAAAACCTAAGATCGTAAAATTGATGGAGTGAAAAACATTGAAAAATCACACTTTTTCGTTTTTCTATTTCTTTTATTTTGAATTTTTAAATTTTTTTTTTAAATCGAGAAAAAATTTGAAAAATCAAGAGATCAAAACTTGAAAAATCGAGAAATCGAAACACCGAAGAGCGGAAAAATTCATTTCCTTTATTTTTTCGATGTTTCTTTCGATTTTATAATCTTTCGTTTATTATTTATTTATTTATTTATTTATTTATTTATTCAAATTTTCAACTTCCCATTCTTTGATTCCTCAATTTTCTAATTTTCGCTTCTTTTTCTTTCCAGTTTTTCGATTCATCTTTTTTTTTCATTTTTAAGATTCTTGATTTTTAGTTTTTCAGTGTTCTTCAATTCTGCGATTTGCAATTTTTTGATTTTCCACCGTTTCGATTTTGTAATGTCTCATTTTTTTAGTTTTCCGATTTTTTAATTTTTCGGTTTTTGAACTTTCCTAATAAAAAAAAATGGAAAACCAGAAGATCAAAAGAATTTTTCAACTTTAATTTTTTAATTTTTTCGTTTTCGGACTTTCAAATTTTGCAATTTTTCGAGACAATTTTTCATTTTTCGATTTTTTATGTCCCCAATTTTTAATTTTTCGACTTTTCATTCTTTTTTTTTGATAAATTTTTCAAGTAGGTAGTTGATTTTAATTTTTTTCCGATTTTTTTATGTATATTTTATCGATTTTATAATAAAATTCTCAATCTTTGATTTCTCGATTTTCTAATTTTTACATTTTTCGGCTTTTTAACTTTTCAAATCATTCATCATTCAAATGGAAGTAATTAAAAATATAAAAAAAGTATGAAATCATTTTTTCAACTTTAATTTTTTCAGTTTTTCAGTTTCTCCATTTCAAAATTTTTCGATATGCAATTTTTCAATTTTACATTTTCCCGATATTACAATTTTTCATTTTTCAATTTTTATGTCCCCAATTTTTAATTTTTCGATTTTTCAAATTTTTTTATTTCACAAATTTCTCAAATTCCAGTTTTGAACTTTCCAATTTTTTAATGTTTCATTATTTTTCCTTTATTTTTCAATGTTACATTCTACTTTACAATGTTTCGCTTATTTAAGTTTTCAAATTCTCAATCTTTCGTTTTTCAATTTTCTATTTTAAAATCTTTTGCATTTTTCGATTCGATTCGGTTTACTTTTTCCCAATTTTTCGATTCATTACATTTTTTCATTTTCAAGTTTCTTCAATTTTTCGACTTTCCACTGTTTCAATTTTCCAATTTCTCGTTGTTTTAGTTTTTCGATTTTTCAATTTCTTCGAATTTTTTAATTTTTCGATTTCTCAGTTTTTCGGCTTTTCAAGTTTTCGGATAAAAAAAAAATGCAAAAACCAAAAAATCAAAAAATTATGAAACTGAAAACTCAAATTTTTCAGTTTTTCAACTTCCAAAGTTTTCAGTTTTTCATTTCTTCAATTTCTCGATATGACAATTTTTAATTTTTTTATTTTTATGTTCCCAATTTTTAATTTTTCACTTGATAAATTTTCGAAATCTTGATTTTAATTTTTATTTTCTCGATTTTTTAATTTTCTCGATTTTATATCACAGTTATTGTTTTTGTCATTCCTTTATTTTGCAATACTTTTTCGAAATTCCAATTTTTAAATTTCTCAATTGTGCAATTTTTGGATTTCCCAATTATTCAATTTCCCAATTTCTTTAATTTTCAATATTTCTTTTCTTCAATTCTTTAAGTTCGTGATTCTCAATTTTTAGTTTTTTTAGTTTTCATTTTATAATTTTTCGTAATTTCATTTTTGATTTTTCAAAATTACAATTTTGCAATGTTTCCATTTTTTTGATTAGAAAACTTAAACAATAAAAAATTGAAAAATAGAAAAACTAAAAAAATAGGAAATTGCAAAATCGAAACAATGGAAAATCGAAAAATTGCAACTCGATGAATTAAAAAATTGAAACAAAAAAAATCGAAAAATTGGAAAACCCAAAAATTGTAAAACCGAAAAATTTTAAAATCGTCAAAAACGGAATACTATAACATTGAAAAATCAAAGAATTAAAAAATTAAATATCGAGAAATTCCAAAGTTAAAAATCGAATAAATGAAAAAGTTTTAAAATCCAATAATTCGAAAATGGAAAAATTCTTGAATCATAAAATTAATAAAGCGATAAATTTTGAAAATTATAATAAAAACTTGAAAAAACGCAACAACTGAACAATCGAGAAACTGAAAAATCTAAAATTGAAAAAAGAAAAATGAAAAAATCGTAAGTAGAAAAACCGAAAAATTGAATAATCCAAAAATTGAAATTATAAAATCAGTACATTGAAAAACCGAACAATTGAAGATATAAAGAAAACAAAAAACCGAAACAAAAAGTGCAATTCGAAAAATTAAAAAAATGGAAACCAAAAAATCGAAAATTCGAAAAATTAAAAATTTAAAACTCGAATAAATGAGAAAGTTTCGAAATCCAATCATTGGAAAATGGAACAATTCTAAAATCGTAAAATTGATGAAGTGAAAAATTTTGAAAATTATAATTAAATTTTGAAAAATTGCAATTCAAAGAATTGAAAAATCGATAAACTGAAAAATCTAATACCGAAAAAACAAAAAATTGCAAATCAAAAATTTGAAGAAACGAAATATCAAAGAATCGAAAATTGAAAAATTAAAACCTGAAAACTGCGGAAATTTTAAATCGATACATTGCAAAATCTAAAAATTGAAATTTTGATTTTTTCAAAAAAATTTGGAAATTTTTTTAGAAAGCTAGAAAGAATTGCAAACCGTCAAACTGGGCAACCAAAAAAAATGAAAAGTTGAAGAACTGAAAAATTTTAGTCAAAAAATCTGCGTTGTTATTTATCCCACTGGTTTTAACTTTAAAGAGGTTATCAGAAAACAAAAATCGCACAAAATTTTTATAATTTTTCAAAGAAGCGGGATTTGAAATAAACTTCAACCAATTTTTTATGCAAGCTGTTAAAAAAGGGATGAATCATTTAACTTTATTAATTAATTTTCAATTTTTTAAATGTTTTAATTCGGTCACAGTTTTTATTTTTTAATATTTTGAGGGGTCAAAAACCCCATGAACGAGTCGAGATGGTGGGAGAAGCCGCAGGTAAGGTTTAAATTAGGGAACAAGAACGTGAAATAGTTTTAAGCTTACCTATAATAAGGAGTCCACAGGGCACAAAATAATATAAAATACGTGCGGACACCATTTTTACAATCAGAATAATCCCTCCAAGCAGAGAGGCTAGAAGCACCAATATTTCGACACCATATATTCCCAAATATGGAAGTAGATAGTTAGGGTGTTTCTAAAAAAATAATTGAACTTTTTGAAGCCAAAACACACGGACTTACTTTACTAAGACCCACAATCAGAAGAAAATTCGCTGCTAAGGATATAAAAAAGTACGTTAACAGTATACTCAGCAACATGACCCTAACGTAATCATCTTCGTCTTCCATTTCCGGGATCAAAACCGCTAGAGTAAAAATCGCTGCGCTCCGATAAATCTGAAAAAAAAATATTTTAGAATGAATAGTACAAACACACAGATAACTGGACTAGATTATTTTAATGTGAATCACTGCTTCAAGTGGTTGTATTTATAAAAAAACGACTCTTACAACTCCGAACCATCCAATAACGTATCCACCATTCTTCAGCGAGCACTCACACCTATCCTCCCACCAGAAACAATCTCGGTCTCTCATCTTCTTAATCACCCTCACCACCGCACCAACATGATGCAGAATCAATTTTATCGCCATTGCAACACGGCATCGACTAACATTTTCTTATCGTTATCAGTTATCGCAGAGTGCTCAGTCTTATCTCCGAAAAAAGAAGATACAACTATTCCCGATCGAGGCGGCTAAAAGCACGGACGTTCTTGCATCGTTTGCTTTCAATTACCCTTTATTGCACGCTCTTTCCCTGCAACATTTACTAGTTTAATGAATTTTTTAAACGATGCCGGCGACTACACGAAAAGAAATGGAAAGAGAATCCTAGGATGCGGTAAATAAAGTTTCGCGACGTTGCGACTCCAGAGACAGGAAGTCGTCTATTCAGATGAACGGGAGGAAGAGTTTTTTCGGGAAAAATAGAGGTATCTATATATTTAAGGGAGGTTTTGAGGCGTGAACAGGTCGGGGCTATTTTTAAACTCGAACGACGTTGCTACTGATATTGATGATTACCTAATTTATGATAATAATAATCTCAATTAAATTAATCGGAAATTTATCTAGAGCATTTCTAACAGAGTTAATATAAAAAGAAAAATGTTGGCGAGTATTTAGTCGTCATACAAGAAAATTAATTTTACCTAAGAGCACAGAAAGTCTGTTATATTATGAAGAAGATTATATAAGAAGCGAATCAAGAGCATATTTCGCCGAGCATGCAGCCATGTAAAATTAAATCTCTTCAAAAGATCTTAATGCTCTACACCACGTGGGGGGTAAACAATGTCTTGTAAGAAAGCTAAGAATTTTAAAAATTTTCTTTGTACAACCTCAATCTCCTTGCGATGAATTGCGTAGACGGGGCAACTTATTAAAACTGTTATTTTTGAAGTACTTTGAAAGAATTTCGGAGACCCTTTTTGTTTTGTTTTTGAAGTACTTCGAAATAATCTTCGGGGATCCCTTGTCTCGTTTTTGAATTACTTTGAAATTTTCTCGGGGAACTCTTTTGTTTTTTTTGAGGTACATATTTGGAAAGAATCTTGGGGATTCCTTGTGTTTTATTTTTGAAGCAGTTTGAAAGAATATCGAGCGCTCGTTGTGTTTCGTTTTTGAAGTAATTTAAAGGAAACTCGAGGAAGTTTCTGTGTATCGCTTTTGAAGTAACTTAAAGGAATCTCTGGTATCACTCTGTCTTATTTTTAGAGTAAGTTGAAAGAATTTCGGCGATATTTTTGAAGTAATTTGAAGGAATATAGGAACTCTGTTTATTTTGTTTTTGAAGTACTTTGAAAGATTGTCGGGTATCATTCATTGAGAAATTGAAAAATTCTTAAACTAACTAAAGTGACGAAAAATTGGGTAATCGAAAAGCTAAAAAATCGGGACATCGAAAAATCCAAAAAGCCGAAAAGTCGAAAAATCGAAAAGCTGAGAAATCGAAAAATCGAAAAAAAAAATTTAAAAACTGAAACATCAAAAATCGAAAAATCGAAAAACTAAGAAATCGAAAAATTCAAGAGCTGAATAACTGAGAAAACGAGAAGTCGAGAAATAATAAGGTCGAAAAACCAAAAAATTGATTATCGAGAAAGTGAGAAATCAAAAATTGAAATTTAATAATGTCGAAAATTGATAAATTGGAACATACATACCTAAGTATATCAAAAAATTTAAAAATTGAAAACCGAAGAATCGAAATTTTGTAAATCGTGAAAATAAAAAATCGCCAAATTGAAGAGTAAAAAAACTGAAAAATCCCAAAACTAAAAATTGACAAATTGGAAAATTAAATAATCAAAATTCTGAAAAAAATGTAGAAATTGAAAAATTCGGAAGATCAGAAAATTGGAAAATTGAAAAACTGGAACATCGAGGAACGAAACAGCAAAATATCAAGAAATCGAAGAATCAAGAAGTCGAAAAATCGAAAAGTTAAAAATTGCAAAATTGAAAAATTAAAAAACCGAAATATTTAAAGCCAAAAAGTCGAAAAATTGAAAGAGCAAGAAATCTAAAAAAAAAAAACATATCGGAAAAGTGAAAAATTAGAAAATAGAATAATCAAAATTTCGAAAAATTGATAAATTGAAAAATCCAGAATTTAGAAATCGCAAAACTAAAAAATTGGGAAATCGAAAAGCCGAAGTTAAAAATCAAAAATTGAAAAATCTAAAAATTTAAGAACTGAAAAACTGAGAAATCGAGAAATCAAAAATTGAAAATTTAGTAATGTGAAAAATTGATAAAATGGACCATACATATATCAAAAAATTAAAAAATCGAAAACCAAAGAATCGAAAATTTGAAAACTCCCAACACTGAAACATCGAAAAATTGAAAATCGAGAAAATAAAAAATCGAAAAACTGAAGAACAAAAAAACTGAAAAATCCAAAAACTGAAAATCGATTTCAAGCTCTGGGATGCCTTGAAGTAAGTTGAAAAGTCTCCGGTACCCACTGTGTTTTGATTTTAAAGTAGTTTGAAAGAATCTCGAAGTCTCGTAATCAGTATTGTGTTGCTTTTGATGTAATTTGAAAAAAAAAATCTCGGAAATCTTTGTGCGTATTATTTTTGAAGAAATTTATTATAATCTCGGTGTCCCCTTGTGTATTGTTTTTGAAGGAATTTGAAAGAATCTCGGGGACTATTTTCGTTTGTTTTGTTTTTTAAGTAATTTGAAAGTATCTTGGGGGACACGTGTGTTTTGTTTTTGAAGTGGTTTGAAGGAATTTCGGGGACCTCTTGTCTTGTTTTAATAGTAATTTAAAAGAATTTCTGGATGTCCTGTGGACCCTACTTTTGAAATAATTTGAAAGAATTTTGGGGACCCCTTGTATTTTGTTTTTGAAGTATCTTGAAAGAATCTCGGGGATCTTTCTTTTGATTTTGTGATTTAAAAGAATTTTGGAAACTCCTTTTGTTTTGTTTTGAAGTACTTTGAAATAATTTTCGGGGATCCTTTATCTTGTTTTTGAAGTAATTTAGAAGAATCTCTGTGTCCCCTTATGTTTTGTTTTTAGAATAATTTAAAAGAATCTCAGGGTGCCCTGTGTGTCTTGTTTTTGAAGTAATTTGAAAGAATATCAAGAACTCCTTTATGTTTTTTTTTAATAGTTTGATAGAATCAGAGGGCGGGGCAGTTGTATCTGGTTTTTGAAACAGTTTGAAATAATTTCGGGGACTCTTTTGTTTTGTTTTTGAAGTATTTTGAAAAAATCTAGGGAGTCTCTTGTTTTGTTTTCGAAGTGATTTCAAAAAATCTAGGGGACCTTTTGGTCTGATTTTCGAAATACTATCAAAGAATTTCGAGAACCACTTTTGTTTTTTTAACTAGTTTGAAAAAATTTTGAGGCACCTTATGTTTTGTTTTTGAAGTAGTTAGAAAGATTCTTCGAGATCCCCTGTCTTGTTAATTAAATTTAGTAATTTAAAATAATCTAAGGAACCCCTTGTGTCTTCTTCTAGAAGTATGTAGTTTAAAAGAATTTCGGGGCCCTTTTGTGCTGATTTTTGAAGTAGTTCGTAAAGATTTCGAAGACCTTTTTTGTCTTGTTTTTGAAGTAGTTTGAAAGCATCTCGGGGAACTCTTTTGTTTTTTTTTAAGTGAATATGTAGTTGGAAAGCATCTTGGGGATTTCATGTGTTTTATTTTTGAAGTAGTTTGGAAGAATATCGAGCGCCAGTTTCGTTTTGTTTTTGAAGTAATTTGAAAGAATCTCGGGGATGTTTCTGTGTATTGTTTTTGAAGTAATTTGAAAGAATCTCGAGGACCCCATGTGTTTTATTTTTGAAGGAGTTTTTAAGAATCTTGGGTGTCTGATTTTTGAAGTAGTTCGGAAGAAATTCGGGGAGCATTTTTTTTTGTCTTATTTTTGAAGTACTTTGAAAGAATTTCGGAGACCCTTTCTGTTTCGTTTTTGAAGTACTCCGAAATAATCTTCGGGGATCCCTTGTCTCGTTTTTGAAGTAGTTTGAAAGCTTCTCGGGGAACTCTTTTGTTTTTTTTTGAGGTACATATTTGGAAAGAATCTTGGGGATTCCTTGTGTTTTATTTTTGAAGTGGTTTGAAAGAATATCGAGCGCTCGTTGTGTTTGGTTTTTGAAGTAATTTGAAGGAAACTCGAGGAAGTTTCTGTGTATTGTTTTTGAAGCAACTTAAAGGAATCTCTGGTATCACTCTGTCTTATTTCCGGAGTAAGTTGAAAGAATTTCGGCGATATTTTTGAAGTAATTTGAAGGAATATAGGGACCCTCTTTGTTTTGTTTTTGAAGTACTTTGAAAGATTGTCGGGTATCATTCATTGAGAAATTGAAAAATTCTTAAACTAACTAAAGTGACGAAAAATGGGGTAATCGAAAAGCTAAAAAATCGGGACATCGTAAAATTGGAAAATCGAAACACCAAAAATCGAGAAATCGAAAAACTCAAGAGTTGAAAAACTGAGAAAACGAGAAGTGGACAAATAATAAGGTCGAAAAACCAAAAAATTGATTATCGAGAAAGTGAGAAATCAAAAATTGAAAATTTAGTAATGTCGAAAATTGATAAATTGGAACATACACACCTAAGTATATAAAAAAATGTAAAAATCCAAAAACCGAAAAATCGAAATTTTGAAAATCGAGAAAATAAAAAATCGTCAAACTGAAGGGTAAAAAAACTGAAAAATCCAAAAACTAAAAATCGACAAATTGGAAAATTAAATAATCAAAATTCTGAAAAAATCGAGTAATTGAAAAATTCTAAAACTGAAATGACGAAAAATTAGGGAATCGAAAAACCGAAAATTCGGAAGATCAAGAAATTGGAAAATTGAAAAACTGAAACATCGATAAACGAAACAGCAAAATATCAAGAAATCGAAGAATCAAGAAGTCGAAAAATGGAAAAGTTAAAAATTACAAAATTGAAAATTAAAAAACCGAAATATTTAAAACAAAAAGTCGAAAAATTGAAAGAGCAAGAAATCTAAACATAAAAAAAACATATCGGAAAAGTGAAAAATTGAAAAATACAATCATCAAAATTTCGAAAAATAGGAAAACTGAAAAATCTAAAATTTAAAAATCGCAAAACTAAAAAATTGGGAAATCGAAAAGCTGAAG